GACCTGGCCTGCAACCCAGGCATGTGCCCTGACCAGTGAGGGATCTTTTGGTTTCTGGAATGATGCCCAACCCACTGAACCACACCAATCGTGGCTATCCTGTATGCATTCAATAAATGGAAAGAATCAGTGCTAATCTTTCTTCGTGTGTCAGTAATCAGCAGCCTGTGGATAGGTGAGATTGTCTGTGCACAGCCACATGGAAAGCCTTTCAATGACCTGAAATGGAGATACAGAGTAGAAGCTGGAAAATAATTTCTAGCAGTGAGCACAGAGTCCCATGGTCTGACATCACAGAGACACCTCATCTGATTTGACTGATGCAAACAGGGCATTTTCTGGGAAACCCCACAGCCACCAACAGTGCCCTGAAGTTGTCAGTCATTCTGTGTAGTCCCTAGAACTGCAGGTAAGGAATATGGAAGGCAAGGTAAGGGTGCATATTTCTTTGTCATCTAGGAGACCCACGGAAACTGAAGCCATCACTTTCTTTGCTTACTCAATATCCCAGGGAGAGGGGGATGTTTGGGGTCCCTGGTTGGCTTTGAAAGGGATGTGCTAGGATTTCAAAACCTGCCCTGCAGCCAGCCTCCAATAGTGATGCTGACTACTCAGGCAGCCAGCATCTCTCTGTCATTTAAGCTTCCTGAAAAATGGAGTTATACAGTAAAAGGATTTGGGAATAAAAGATGTTTTGTAAAGTAAATGATCATTTTTTTAAACTTCAGGGGCTGGGTTTTTTTTTGTTTGTTTCGTTTTTTAACTGCTAACAGTCTCCTTACAGGAGGGGTGTCAAACTCATTTTCACTGGGGGCCACATCAGCTTTGCAGTTGCCTTCAAAGGGCTGAATGTAATTCTAGGACTGTACAAATGTAACTACTCCTTAACTAGGGGCAAGAAGCTCAGCACTACAGCCAGGTAGAAACAAGGTGCTGGGCTGGATAAAACAAGGTGAAGGGCCGGATTTTGTCCATGGGCCTTGTGTTTGCCACCTGTGCTTTAGAGGGAGATGTGTTAACTCAGTCAGCTGTCATTCATTAGTCCTGACCACAAATTCTACTAGCCTGGTGCAGCTGGTGAGCAAGGCATTTGTGGACCTGCTTTGGATGTGAGAGACTTCTCCACCTCTTAATGCCTTTTGTACCATCTTCTTGCATGTAGCTATATTATAGCTAATTATCTGCCTTTTCATCACTGTCTGGTTTGGGTTACTCAGAACTTAACTCCAGGACAAAAAGTTTCAAGTGCAAAGAATTTATTTGAAAGGTGACCCCGAGAGACACTGATAGGGGAGGGAGAGAGAGAAGGAAAGTTATCCATAAAAATAATTCTTACCAAGCAAGTTACTGGAGCTTGAACCCAGGGGTGAACTCTGGGGAACAGGGTATTATACAAATCTTGGAGCTATCGCACCCGAGGAGTGAGGAAATTGAGGTATTTATATGCCGATTTCCATCAGTCATTGTTTGAGAGCTGTCCCTGTGTTAATTCTATACCCATATGGGAGAAATGAACCTTAATCCCTACTTCATTTTACACAAATAATTTAATGCAAGAAAGAGCATATGCCTAAATGTAAAAGTTAGAACTATAAAGTATCTAGAAGAAAATATAGGGGAATTATGTGTACGACCATAGGTTAGGCAAAAATTTCTTAGGCAGGACACAGAGAGCACTGCTAAAAAATACCTGAAAAATTAATAAATTGGACTTCACTCAGAATGAAATACTTCCCTTTGAAAAACATTAATAAGAAAATGAAAAGGTATGTTATAGAATAGGAAACAATACTTTCAATACAAAAATCTCACCAAAGACTTGTATCCAGAATATGTAAAGAACTGCTACAAATCAATCATTGACAAAAGATTTGAATAGACACTTCAAAAAATAAGATACACAAATGGCCACTAAGTCATTTGAAATGGGGTTCAGCATTATTCATCATCAGGGAAATGCAAATTAATGAGATACTACTATATATTCACTAGAGTTGCTAAAACTAAAATAACTTCGTAATGCAAATATCAGTGGAAATAACTGGAATTCTCATGTTTTGCTGGTAGGAGGACAAGATGGTACAACCATTATGAAAACACTTTGGCAGTTTTTTAAATAGGGCTAAATATATCTATCTCTTTAGAATCCAGCACCTATCTACAAAAAAGACTGGTACAAAAATGTTCATAACAGCTTAAAAACAAACAAACAAACAAACAACAATCCAAATGTCCATCAACAGGTGAAGAATGAACAAATTGTGATATCTTACAATAAAGTGTTATTCAGAGTAAGAAGCAGTGAACTACTGACACACACAAAAATGCGGATGAAGCTAAAAGACAATTACACCGAGCAAAAGAAACAGGTACAAAGAATACATTCTGTTTTGTTCTGTACAGATTAAGTCCAGGCACAGAGAAGCCATGCTATAGTGATAAAAATCAGATCAGTGGTTGCCCTTGGGAGTTCGAGATTGACTGGAAGAAGACACTCCTAAGGGAATTCGGACCTTTTGAAAATGTTCTTTATCTTGTTTTGGTTGGTGGTTACATGAGTATAGTTGTCAAATCTTATCTAATTGAACATGTAAGATCTGTGCTTTTTATTATATAAAATTATGCCCTAATAAATCCCACCAATTTGCCTTTTAAAAAGAAAACACAATTTCCATTCAAAACAAGGAGTGATTTGCTCTATGTTCTGCATTCCCATTAGCTTTAAGCTTCAGGAAATCGGATGCCACGTATGTTTTTCTCTACTGTATCCCCAGCACCTAGTACAGCACCTGGGACCTCTTGAATGCTCAAGTCACATTTGTTAATATCATACGTTTTTAGAAGAGCCTCTGTTATAACTGTAGCTTTCAATCTCCCTTTGCAGCCAGGATCTGTTTTTGGCAGATGCTGGTTACCCGAGAAGCTTGAGCACAGGTGCATTGTCTAGAAGGGAGCTTGCAGGTGGGAACCCAGCAGGGCTCTGAGTGTCCTTGGGCACTGACAGGGTCCCAACTGTGAGCACCATCTGCTCCTGTGAAGGGTGTCTGACAGCATCCGCAGCCCTGGACCTGGAAGGTGAGTGCCTCTGAGACCAAATGTCAGACTCCTATTCTCCCGCCCTTAGGGAGCTATGGAAAGTCATTTTATCCCTGCAAAAAGCAAGTGCCAACATGTGTTTCTGCTTTGTAATTCACCAAGTATTTCCCTACATATGATCTATTTTATCCTCCCTATGACCCTGTAAAGTAGGTATTTACTAACCCTATTTTACAGAGAGGTTAAGTGATTTCCCCAAGGTCACACAGCTGGCAAGTGGTGGAACTGGGATTGAAACCAAGTTTCTGACCATTTACTACTATATTAAATGCAGTACTGCTGTGTCATTTAAGGACCTTCAGAAGCAGTTTCTGAAATCTGACCCCTTCAAGCTCTACTGGACTAATGGAAAGAAAAGTAACAAATATCACTTGCCTCAAATGCATTTTATTCTAAATGCCCCTGAAAGATTAGCCTGCCTGGATAACCATTATGATATTGCCACTGCCCCATGTGAATTTTTCATGCTCCTCATCACCTACCAAGTAAAATTCACTCTTCTTAGCTGCTGTTCAGTACTCTTCTGCCCAATTCACCTTTGTGGCCTCATTCCCCCCAAACCTCACCTTCTCTGCAACTTTTGCTCCTCCTCTTGCTCTCCACATGGAATACCAGTGTTTTCCAGATTCCCTTGCAAAACTTTTTCTCACCCTTCAAGTTAGGACTGAAATGCCACCACCATCCCCATTTGTGGATGTTTATTTCATTTGAATCCTTTGAGCACGAGGTTTATACCCTTCACATGGCACTGTCATGTATCATGAGTCTCCGTCTGTCTTCCTTATTAGACCGTGAGGTCCTAGAAGCCAGGTTCATGCCTTCCCCATTTTTGTAACCACTGTGGGCACTAGAGTAGCTACACACTGCAGATATTTAATCAGTGCAGAATTAATAATTTACCACCTCTCCAACCATTGTCTGTGCATTTAATACATAGTTTTAAATAAAACTTTGCCATGCATAGTTTTAAAAAATGTTTGCATTATGAGTTTATTTTACGAGTATGGTTAATAAAGCCCCACTTTCAGTGTGCATTGCTTCCAATTTGCCTGGATGAATACCTACATTTTTTTGCAAGTGGGTTGGACACGTGGATAGATTGTGGAGTCCACGCTCCTACTCTGTCCGTGTAACCTTGGACAAATTACTTCTACCCTCAGGACCTTATTTTACCTCCATCCATTCAAGGGATGGGGGGACAATCTCCGTTTTACTTCTTTAATTCATCACCAGGTTATTGGGAGGACAAATGAAATAACAGATGTAGAAGTGCTTCGTCAACTACAAATCTCCTAGACCTGTCATTTAGTGGTACCTGCTGTTTGAGGCACGGTTTTATTGACGGCAGCACCCCATCCAAAAGTTCTTTCAGAGAGAACTTGTTGGTCTGAAGGCAGTATATGTTGGGGGCTGCAAGGTGATGAGGAAATGACCCTAACTGGGCTGTGTTGTGGTGAGTTAGAGGTGGGCAGGGACGTTGTTGTCTGACAGCCTGCCTTGAGGAAGGAGACCAACACCCTTGCCCTGGCAGCCTGGGAACGCCACCTCGCGTGCAAGTTACAGGAAACTGGCCAGTTTTCGGGAATGTCTCCATCGGAGCGCAGGATGGTGACGGACTGCTGAGGGAAGGTGAAGCCTGAACGCTCCAGAGGCCGGACCAACTATCACTGATGGGCACAGCCCCACTTCACGTTGGAAGCCATCACATCCACCTCGTGAGCGAAGACTAGGCGCCCAAACGCCATAGCGACACCTACAGCCAAAGAGCCCCCAGCAGGAGTCCTTGGGGCCTGCCCATTGGCTTGCACTCGAGGGAAGGGCGTGTCTTGAGTCACCGCGCTTCCTGATTGATCAGCTGCGTGATTGGCAGGCCCCTGCCCGCTGTTGGTGCCAGGAGGCCGGACATGGCGGAGGCGGGAAAGAAGCCGGCGTGCCTCGGGCTTCCCGGTGAAGACGCAGCACAGTGGCCACTGCAGCGGTACGGCCGTTTCGTACTCTTGGGTGCCGGAGAGTCGCCTGGGCCTGGGCTGGACTCTGGGATGGCCTCTTCCCCTACATGGAAGGTGAGGCCCGAGGGCAGGAAATGCCGCGAGGCCCTCGCCTCGGCGGGGAGGGAGGGAAGACTGCGGCCTGGTGCCCTACGGGTGGCTGGTCCCCGAACGGCACGCGGACAGGAGGAGGGGACGCCTAGGGACGGCAGGAATGGTTAGCAGATAGCTAACAAACAAAATAGATAGTATTGTGAGACAAGTTTGGAACCCATCACGTTCTCAAATAACATTCATATATTCAATGGATATTTGGGGGCATCAGTTCTGTGTTAGATATTATTTAAGAGGTTGGGGTTTCATCAGTGGACAAATTATAAATGATCTCTACGCTCATTTATGTTTTTAGTCAAGTGGAGAATTAGTACTTGTCCATTAACTATGGTTATGTAAACCAGTTCCACATCTCCCGTGTGGAAGGGAGGGTTGAATAGTCTATAGTCACGTTACCAGCAGCCAAGCACTCACACAGGACTCAGTTTGAATCCTAGCTTTGCCACTGAATATCTGTGACCTTATTGAAATTATTTATCATCTCTGTACCTTAATTACTTTATCTTAGAGATTATAATCTTATCTCTAAGATAGTGCCTACTTAGGTACTCTAAGTAGTACCTACTTCATCAGATTGTTGGGAGTATTGAGGAGTATTAAGTATGTTAATATACGAATCACCTAAAACAGTGCCTCATATAAAGTTATATATATAAGGGTTTGCTGTTATTATCTTTTGCCCTGGTGTTATCTTTTAACATTAAAAGATAACAACATTATCTGTTGCTAGGCATTCAGTTTCTTTTGGTCTAGTTCAACTATTGCATGTGGACCCTGCGGCTTTGGATTATGCATGTGCGAGTTTACAGTGGTATAATTTGGGCAGCAATGGGTAGAAAAGTAAAACAATTATTCCACGAAGAGGACACAACATGTGCAAGACCCTGAACCTGGAGAAACCTCAGCACATGTAGTGAATGTGCAGAGAAAAAGAGCAGAGCTGGTGCTTATGAAGAACTTGGGAAATGAGAGCATGAGATGAGGTTGTCTGGAGAGGTAGGCAGGTGCCTTATGAACATTATCCTAAAACCAATAGGAAGCCACTGAAGGGTTTTAAGTAGGAGCATTTTTCATCTTCGAAAGATCATTCTGGCTGCAGTGTGGAGACTAAATTGGACGGGAATATGAGTAAATTCAGGAAGATCACTTAGAATGCTATTGCAGTGTGGTACGTAAGGGGCAATAATGGCAGACTGGAAGGAGGAGGTGAGAGGGGAGGATAGCCGTAGAGGTGGGAAACTGAGTATATTAAAGCTGTCTTTTGGAGACTCAGAGGATGGGACTTGGAGATGGATTGGCTTCTAGTGGTAAGAGTAAAGGATTTCTGAGTTTTTAGCAGGAGCAACTAAGTAGATGTTTCAGGATGAGAAACATTGGAGGGCAAACAATCAGGGAATAACCTAAGACTTCAGTTTTGCATGTATGGAGTTTAAATGTGTTTATGAAGCATCCAGGTGGAGATATTGAATAGGTAGTTGGGTGTACTGGTCTAGACTCAGTAGGAAGTCTGGTCTGGAGACGTAAATGTATTGTTGACATGAAAGTGTGTCATCAGCATGAGATTGTCTAAGATTCCAAGACCAAGCCCCAAGGACACATTTGTAGGTTAGGTGGGGGGGGGGGGGAAGAGTCCCTAAAGAATGATGAAGGATAGAGTTGGGAGGCACCTAGGAGAGTGCAGGTCCATCAAAGCTATAGAAAGTTATTTCAAGAGGGAGAGAACAATTAACATTGTTGAGTGATGCTGCAAAGTAAGGGAAAATGATAGCTATGGCTTGTTTATTGGATTTTGCAACATAAAGGTCCTTATGGTCTTTACCAAGAGAGATTTAATAGAGTGAACAGAGTGGAAGCCGGATAAGGGTGGGCTGAAGAGTGACTGTTAGGTGAGGCAGTGGAGCCAATGTGCAGTTCTGAGAGACCTTGGTGTGAATGTGAGGAGAGAAGGCTTAATGAATTGTTCACCAAATTCCAGAATATTAGAGCTGGAGGCACTACTTAAAGCTTAAAAATCAATATGTCTAGGACCATAAAAAGGGTGTTAAATACCTAGACGTTACTCTTGTGGAATGCTGTATCTTGAGAAATTATATAAGATGTAAAGACAAAATGAAGTGAATAAAAAGTTAAATTTAAGGATAACTGACCTATAATAGGATCTTTTTAAAAAGATTTTATTTATTTATTTTTAGAGAGAGGGGGAGGGACAAAAAAGGGAAGGTAGGGAGAGGGGGAAAGAAACATCAATGTGTGCTTGCCTCTTGAGTGCCCCCTACTGGGGACCTGGCTCACAACCCAGGCATATACCCTGACTGGGAATCAAACTGGCAACCCTTTGGTTCACAGGCTGGCACTCAGTCCACTGAGCCACACAAACCAGGGCTATAATAGGGTCTTATTTTTTTTAAAAAACTGGGGATGTTTGAGAACATATTTAATTTTTGAGACATTGATGTTTCTTTCCCCCTCTCCCTACCTTCCCTTTTTTGTCCCTCCCCCCTCTCTAAAAATAAATAAGTAAAATCTTTTTAAAAAGATCCTGTTATAGATCAGTTATCCTTAAATTTAACTTTTTATTCACTTCATTTTGTCTTTACATCTTATATAATTTCTCAGGATACAGCATTCCACAAGAGTAACGTCTAGGTATTTAACACCCTTTTTATGGTCCTAGACATATTGATTTTTAAGCTTTAAGTGTGATTCCTTGATAACCTTCTCTTAAAACCCTCTACTAAACCTATTCTCCTAAGGGTTGGTGCATTGGCTCAAATGTAGCCAGTAACTCTTAGATTCTTGTCCTGCAACCCAGAGGCCATGGGCATTTGACCATTCGAAGGAGTTGTTATTACATTTTCTCCTACTTTATGTAAAGCTCTTCATAATTGCTTATACAGAACAGCAATTTTCAACGGTTTTCAAATATTTGGCAAAAAGCCACAGCTACAACAAAAAGAGATGAGGTTGGCTTTTGCAGTGCTTTAGAAAAGTGAACATTTGTACCTTCCTTTGACTCTGTGCAGAACTATTTTAACTGCTGTGATCAGTTTCAGCTTAGGTTCTGTCATTTAAAAATAAAAGGAGGAGGAGTAGGAAATCAGAATTGTTCTATTTTATGTACACTGTGACTATGGTGCAATAGTAATAATAAAAGGTGAGCCAACTAAAGTATTGCAGTAGGTCCCATGTGAACTTCTTATTTAAAAAAATGTGCCACCCTCAGTAAAAAATACGTTAGGCGATGCATAAAAATATATATTTTTGGAGGACAGAGTCATTCTGGTCTTTTTTTCCTTTAGGGAACTAGCAAGTTCAACTTTGGTTAGACCTATTTTGAGTTTTTTTTCATTTTTTTCCTGAAATTATGTGGAAAATCTGATCTCCTAGTATTTTAGTTGCCTAATTACAGACTTTCATCATAATGGTTGTATGCTAAGGCAAAGATGTTGACTTGAGAAAAAATTAATAGTACAACAAAAATTCTAAGACTTGAAGTCTGATTTGAGAGATAAGTGAAGTGTCAGACATAAATATTCTATGTAGAATATCTAACATATATGTATATTGATTTGATTTATGTGACTGAATTGAATAATTCTTATTAAAAATTACTATCTGGAGATAAATTAACCACAACGTGGAAGCAAATAAACTTTTTGCAACACTATAAAAAAATCAACAGCTTAGAACTATGCTACTCAGACTTCAATGTGTATAGAAATCACATGGGAAATTGTTTTATATGCAAATTCTGACTCAGTAGGATTGGTATGGGGAATAAAATTCTGTAGTACTAACAAGCTTCCAGGGGATGCTGATGCTGTTGGTCCTGGGACCACACTTTGAGAGGCAAAAGTTTAGAAGTCCTAGAATGAAATGGGCAGATATGTAGTAAGATTAATAAAATTACTAAAATGAATGAGATAAGGCAATCAGCTTCATAATGAACATGCAAACATTTTATTGATAAGATTTGTATTTAAGCCATCTGTCATTTAAATGGAATGAGCAAATGAAATACAAACTTGAACTTGATTTTGACTCTTTACATCTGTTAGCCTAGCCCTTCTAAAAAAAGATTACCACCGCAACAGATTGGTTCATTTTATGTATTTTAGGTCTGAATATAATTCATCCTACTAATTTGAGAATAATTTTGAAAGGTGATATTAATTGCGGGTTTTTTTCAAACTTCAGTTTCACCACGTTTTCCAGATGCCAGGGATTTCTTAGGCATTCCCTAATTGGTTGAACCTGACAACTTACGTTTTCCTTTCAAAGGGAAAAAAGTCATCCTTTAATTTTTATAAGAGGAACTTAAAATAATTGGCCAACTTAGAAATTAAGAAGTAGAATATCAAGTTTGTATTTGAAATTAACTTTTAAGTGTGAATTCAACATAATATTTTGGGTCCTCTTAACTATCCTTTTGTTCTTTGTATTCCTAGTGCTTATATATTTCCTAGCATATGATAAGGTGCTCAGTAAATGATTGACTGAAAGGTAACTTCTCTGAACTTTTCTGATGGTAATGCAATAATTATGACATGATAGCTACTATTTATTAAGTATTTACTTCGGCATATTTCTAACACTGGCCCTATGAAGCAAATATCTTTATACCCATTTTATAGTAAGTGAAGTAAAACACAGAGAAGATTAGTGGTTTACGCAAGAACACGGAAAAAATAAGAAGAAAGAATTCAGACCCTGTTTTTCCTATTTCCAAAGATTGTGTTCTTAATCATTGTGTTGTCTTAGGAGTGTTAGTATGACTCTTTTTTTGATATTTTGTCAAAATATTTATTGAGAACACACTTTAAAAGTAGCATTATGAGCCTGGCTGATGTGGCTCAGTTGGTTGGAGTGTCATCCTGTACTCCAAAAGGTTGTGGGTTCAATTCCTGGTCAGGGCACATACCTAGGTAGCCAGTTTGGTCTCTAGTTGGGGCACATAGGGG